TGATATATAAAGTTAACCCTTTAAACCAAACTGGCCAGAAAACATCTCAATTGGCCAACAAACTAGTGATGAAATTAAACCTAAAGATGATGATATATTAAAATGCAATGTGTAACAGAAACATATCATGAAATTATCTCAAATGGCCAGGTAACTGGTCATCCAATGTCAATGGGCCTTTCAGTATATGAAACCAATTATAACATAAGATTTAATTTATTTGGGTTAAAAGGTTAATGAGTAAATGTACCTTGATCACAATGACTTCCAAGCCATCCAGGTGTACATGCGCAGGTGTATGAAGTTTCTAAGTCTGTACAAGTTGCTCCATTCTGACATGGAGTGGAATGGCATAAATCACCAGCTATAAGGTAAAAAATGCATTTATCAATACCAGAATAAACCAAATCATAACAAAAAAGATTTTAAAGCCAAGCTTCAAAAGGAAATATATATTTTTCATATGTTGTCAACTGATTTTTCTATGACACGAAAACGGTGTTTATGCTTTAAATGGGTGGCAGAGGGCAGACTTTCATTAAAGACAATTTTAAATGTTTACCTACCTTGTTCACAATGATTCCCTTCCCAGCCTGCACTGCATGTACAGTTGTAACTTGTCTGAAAGTTATTGCAGACTCCTCCATTCTCACATGGGGAGGATAAACACAGATCAATTGCTAAAAGGAGTAAAAACATTGCAATGAAAAGACATAAATAGTAAACTATCATTAAATATTATTTTTAAGAAAATTATAACATTCACTAACCTTGTTCACAGTGTGTCCCTTCCCAGCCTGCACTACATGTACAGCTGTAGCTTGTCTGAAAGTTATTGCAGACTCCTCCATTCTCACATGGGGTGGATAAACACAGATCAATTGCTAAAAGGAGTAAAAACATTGCAATGAATAGACATAAATAGTAAACTACCATTAAATATTATTTTAATGAAAATTATAACATTCACTAACCTTGTTCACAGTGTGTCCCTTCCCAGCCTGCACTACATGTACAGCTGTAGCTTGTCTGAAAGTTATTGCAGACTCCTCCATTCTCACATGGGGTGGATAAACACAGATCAATTGCTAAAAGGAGTAAAAACATTGCAATGAAAAGACATAAATAGTAAACCATCATTAAATATTATTTTAATGAAAATTATAACATTCACTAACCTTGTTCACAGTGTGTCCCTTCCCAGCCTGCATTACATGTACAGTTGTAACTTGTCTGAAAGTTATTGCAGACTCCTCCATTCTCACATGGGGTGGATAAACAAAGATCAACCACTAGGAAGAAGAAAACGTAGAAGTGAAAGACATATAAAGGCTAAATTTATCATTTACTAAATTTTAAGAAATTATAACTTTTACTTACCTTGTTCACAATGAGTCCCTTCCCAGCCTGCACTGCATGTACAGTTGTAACTTGTCTGAAAGTTATTGCAGACTCCTCCATTCTCACATGAGAAGGATAAACACAGATCAATTGCTAAAAGGAGTAAAAACATTGCAATGAAAAGATATAAATAGTAAACTATCATTAAATATTATTTTAAACAAAATTATAAAACATTCACTTACCTTGTTCACAATGAGTCCCTTCCCAACCTGCACTGCATGTACAGTTGTAACTTGTCTGAAAGTTATTGCAGACTCCACCATTCTCACATGGGGATGGTAAACACAGATCAATTGCTAAAAGGAGTAAAAATATTGCAATGAAAAGACATAAATAGTAAACTATCATTAAATATTATTTCAAAGAAAATTATAAAACATTCACTTACCTTGTTCACAATGAGTCCCTTCCCAGCCTGCACTGCATGTACAGTTGTAACTTGTCTGAAAGTTATTGCAGACTCCACCATCTGT